ACGAGTCCATTCTGCGGCCGCGCGGGGAGGGAGACAGAGAGCCGAGCAGAGGCCCGAGCACTGGGCCGCTCTCGCCCGCCCCTCAGCGAGGCCGCGTCCCCAGGCCAGAAGGTACCGCCCACGCCTCTCCGCTCCCACGGTCTCCCCTCCGGACTCTCTGCACCCTCCCGTTACCTTGGCAACGGCCAGTGACCTCACCCGGGTGGTAAGCCGAGCCCAGAGTGAAATCACCGCTGTTGCTATGGAGACCTAGGGGTCGCCCAGGAATTCCAGCCCCAATAGGGATGGGTGAGACAACTGGCTTTTGAAAGGGCCTTTGTAGCAAATTGGGGAAGGTGCGTGTCAGTCGGGTGAGGAAGACTGCAGTGGGAACTGGAGGCCCTAATTGGATCGGAAGGGGGACCCTGAGGAGTAGCTCTTCCCAGTTCGTTCTAACCTGAACACTTCCCTCACCCAACCCTGCCACTAACTCCTGGCACCTTGGACAGATCCCCTGACTCTTCATCCCTCAGGCTGGTCTTATACAGCAGTCCTCCAAGTTACCAGAGAGGAGACACCGCAAAGTGTGCCTGAAAGCAGCTGAGACTTTGACTAGGCTCCCACCAGGGAGCTCTCCCTAGTTAGCGTAGCACTACCAGGGTAGAGGTGGAGGTGGTTCTGGCTAATTGCAAAAGACCCTCTTAAAAGCTTTGCATGTGGGAGACAGTAGTTTCAAACTCCAGAACAGGTATGAGACCTTAGAAGTCATGACCCAGCTCTGGGACCACTCCCAGAAGAAATGGCCTCTGCTGCCATCCTTTCTGGCCTAGCCAGAAGGTAAAGGATTATGTATGGGAATTGGAAAGTCATCCTCATGGCTTGCTTTCCTTTGCCTGGAAGTTTCTAAAAGTTCTAGAGCAAGTAGGAGGTGACATTAAGACAAATACTCTTCCCTAGCTCATATTACAGCTATGTAAATGCCACATCTAGCTACTCAACGACCTGGTTAGATAAATTGCTGGACCCTGACACCTATCTCAGTACAGCTGTCTTCCATATCCTGCAAGTTAAGTCCTTGGTTTGTGTTCTGAACACAGAATGGGGATTCTTACCTATCCTGGGTAGCCTGGCACTCAGATATAAGGGCAGGAGACAGCCTGTCACTATGGAAAAGCCAAGGGGCTCAGAGCAATACCAGTACTAAAACAACCCCTCAATGGACGCCACTGAAAGCCCAAAAGGCCAATAGTGTGGCCAGGATGGCACAGTGGTGACAGCAGCCACGAGCTAGTCCAGCAGCACCCTGGCTTCCTTTTCCTGCCCCAAAGCATTGCAGATTCTCCCAGACTCCACCCATTATTGTTGCAGGCCCTCTGCCAAGAAGCTCCTGAGAGGCCCTTCCCTTCACTCTGGCCCTCACTGCCTCTGTCCTACATCTCAAGCCCGCTTGCTCTCAGTTTCTGCGAGCAACTGAAGGAGCTACTTCCTGCTTTAGCACTGAGAAAACAATACGAAACATTAAGATTTTGGATTGAGCACCCAAGATGTGCCAAAGATGACACTAGATGCCTCCTACATTGTTAATTTAATTCCTGGGGGTGCCACTCATACTCAAAAGCTCCTCTGTAAATATAGATGTGTCCTCACCTTTGTCCTCACCCTCCCACCCCACTCAGGCTCTCCAGATGCAGCCCTTACCCGGAGAGACAATGTGTCTTTGCATTGCAGGCTGATTCCACACTCATCAGTGATCTCTGAGAGGTCTTCATCCTCGAACTCCTCCAGGCTGATGTCGTGGGTGAGCCTGGTGAGGACAGAAACCAAGTTACAACCCAGGGGGCCTAAGCCTCAACTAAGCCTGCTGGCATCTCTCTCTTCCCAGGGGAAGACTCTGGAAGGCAGGTGACAACTCCCAGATGGAGGATTCAGTCTGTCTATACCAGTGGCATGGGGAAGAATTTGGGGTTGGAGCCAAAAGGCATTCCACCTAGGGTGGCGGAGGAGGAAGCTCTAGGTTCCTCCAGCATCACCGGCTGGGAGTTCTCCATCCCGCTGCCAACCAGAAGGCAGTCCTAGAAGGCCCAACTGTCCAGAGCCTCAGCTCTGTTGGAGAAATGCCTCCATGGCCCAGTTTACCCCTAAGAGGTACCCAGAGCAGGGAAACCTTTGCACTCCACAGTAACAAGACCCAAAAGGATACCAGAAGGCACAGCAGGCACCCCTTTCTCTCACCCACAAAAACACACACTGTTGAGCCAGGGTAATAGTGAGGAGAACCTGGGACCAGCCTATTCTAAGAAAAACTATGGCTTCCTATTATGTTCTTGGTCTCATCTCTTCAACTACACAGTCTCATCTGGTGTAAGTACCCCGAGCAAATGGGGTCAGCCCAGGCTAGGGCTTGTGACAGACCACAAAGAGCACTTGGGTACCAGAACACCTGCAGGGCTTCCAGGAGCCTAGGCCAGCCTGTGTGACGACCTTGGAATGTACTGGTGAGATAGCCACTGTGGTGACTGCCTGTCCCCTGTACCTGCTCACCCTAACCTGGCACTCTGTCTGGCCTGGTGTAAGTGGGACATCTGGGGAGCTGGAGAGAATGCCTGGGCCTTTGCCCAGAGACCAGGAGATTAGGCACAGAGCAGAGATATACAAGCTCATCCAAGGTCACCCAGGAGAGGAAGGATGGAGTGCAACTCCCAGGGAAGCCTAGAAGGCTCATACCTCTGTCTTCTACCTCATTCAGTCTGAACAGGGGGCCTAAGCTCAATGGAGCGCCTCCCGACTCACCCCTCCCCCACCCCGAGGTCAGCCCCCAGGACCCTACCAGCGCTCCCACTGATCCTCCAACCAGCTGTCATTGTCTGGGCTCGAATCCATCTTCAGTACCAGCTGCATGGAGAGCCCTGCCCGGCCAGGGGGCTGCGGGGCTCCAGAGCTGCCCTCTCATGCCCAGAAGGGTGGGGGGGCCAGAGCTCAAGGCAGGGCTGGGGCTCCTGGCCTCCACCAACTGGGCCTGCCTTTCTGCATCCTGCCGGCTGCAGAAGCCTGAGGAGCTCATTAAAAATAGATGGGCCGGAGAGGAGGCCGCAGCTGCCGACCCAGGCCCCAGCCCCAACTCTTCCTGGCCCAACCCTCAGATGCGGGCAGCTTCCTCCCAAGGCGGCCCGACGCGCTGCGATGTCACCGCCTCCCCCACGGGATCAGGTTACTGCAATCAATGTTACTGGCTCCACCTGCCCTTCCAATGCCCCTGTTGGGGGCTGGAGTGACCCTTCCTCCTCCCAAGGCCAGGCTTGTAAGCAGACGGCAGAAATCTGGTATTTTTTTCCCCTCAAAGCCAGACCCTTATCTGCTTTAAAGGGCCAGTGCCACACTCAGGGTGCCAAGTGGGAAGATGGAGGGGCTTCCAAAGTGCCCCCAAGAACGGATACCCGAATCTACACAGTCACAGGCTCCGCCTCCACACCGCGTCTGCGAGGCCTCTGCAAGCCCGCCCAGAGCAGAGAGGGTAGGTCGGGGATTGGCGCTTTCTGGAAGGATGCTCAGGGATACAGCGATGGGAGTGACTTTGGCCGAGCCTGGAGGTACCTCGTAGCAACTAACTGTCCTGGAAGATTCTGACCCCAAGGGTAACAGGTTTCCAGGCATGGGGGTGTGGCCACCAGCTGGTATAGAGGTGGCCAGGGGGCTAGTCCAGAGACCAGGGCACCCTCCTCAGTCTGGCCTCTTGGCCCTGTGTCTAACGCTAAGTGCAGCCTACCTGTAAGGTGTGGGACTCAGGTAGCATGGCAGTTCCTGGGTCCCACTGGGCATTTTCTCTGGCAGTGTCCTCAGATACGCCAGCTCTGCTGGCGCCCTCTGCACACACCTGTCTCCTTATTGCCAAACCTTGATCCAGTTCCTGCATCCACCAGGCAAGGAGGTGCCCTTGCCTGCTGGCCTCAGTCTCCCTATACCTTTACTACCCATCCTTTGGCCATGAGGCAAAGTCTCAAGGGACACCAACACCATCCCTTATCTCCTCACTCAAAACCCTTCCTGGCTCTGCCCAACAGGGCCAAACCTGGGACTTACATGGTACACATGACAGGCCCTCAAATTGGGCATTCCACAGGAATGTTCAGGGAAGCCTTCCTCCAGGAAGCCCTCCTAGCCCTCTCATGGGGCAGGTGTCATTCTCTGATTGGATCCATCAGAGATGCTCTATCCATCCAGGCTACAGAGTTAGATGAAATGCACCTCCCTTATCATTTATAGTTCTCCCTTCCAGGCTCCCATCTAGATTGGATACCCCTGGAGGGCAGAGCTGGTGAGGGTGTCATGTACACACTAAGTGCTCAGTAGATACATGCCAGGTGTTGGCCACAGGACAGCCTCAGTCTCCACCCTTCCTCTCAAACTGAAAGGTTTGGAGTGGGGCTGCAGGATTCTATATGGCCAGAAGCTGTGTCTGTGTATCCATAGCCCTAGGCATGGCCTAATGAGCCACTTTCCTGATCAACCGGTCGGATGAAGGCACTGGGTTAACTGGACAAATAGGAAGAGCTATGGGCTAGGGGTCAGGAGCAGGGCAGGGAGGGTGTTCTTGCCTTCTCTCACTCCTGAATTCACCCAGGAAAGAAGTCCCAGGAGATGACATGTGTCATCCATTTAAGAATCCTGGTGTCGCCGGGCGTTAGTGGCGCACACCTTTAATCCCAGCACTCGGGAGGCAGAGGCAGGCAGACCTCTGTGAGTACAAGGCCAGCCTGGTCTCCAGAGCGAGTGCCAGGATAGGCTCCAAAGCTACACAGAGAAACCCTGTCTCTGGAAAATAAATAAATAAATAAATAAATAAATAAATAAATAAATAAGAATCCTGGTGTCATTACCCTTGTCTTACTTTGGGATGGTTCTCCTAAGCGGGGTGAGGTGTCAGGTCTAGTAGCAGGAGTATTGAGAGCAAATTCTCCCTCTTCTAAGTTGCCACCAGCTGGGCCACCAACCTTGCTACTTTTCTTTACTACCTTGTAATAGGGTTCTGGCTGGGCTCACAGAGGAAGAGCCCTAAGGCTCAGGCATGGGTATGAGCCTCAGTTTTCTTCCTGCCTGCCACCTTAGGATAAGGTGGAGTGTTTGAATTACAGAGTGCCAGGAGGAGGTCAGAACCACAGGAGGAGAGGAAGGACTGACCATCGGCTGCCCCCTGCTGCCACCTCACTCTTCTCTAGGCGCCAATGGTCTAGATCTCCGAGAGACACTTACAGAAGGGAAGGGGACTGGCAGCTCTGTGCTCAGAGATACCAACAGCTGAGAAGAAGAGGCAGAAGAGGCAGAGGAAGCTAGGGTGAGTAGGGAGACGGAGAAGGAGGAGATTCCTCCTTGAGGCACTTTCTTGGAACTCTGAGTCCTGGCCTGGGAGGTGGCACAGGAGGATCACACAGCCCTGCGAGTTGGCAGCTTCTTCCTAGAGTTGGACCTTGGGCTGACTCCTGGGGAAGCAGCCATACTTGCCCATGTTGTGTAGATACACAGCATAGCCATGTTTGGTGGCCCTGTGTGGGAGTTTGGTCACTGAACACCACACTGACTTTGGCATTGGTCTTCCTGCAGTACATTCCCTCTTGCAATGTTGGTCCCCAGCAACACCTTGCTCAAGTTCTGGCCATGACCACACCCCACACTTCCTATGCTGTCTTGGACTGGGCTCAGTTCTGCTGAATAGCTCAAGCAAACCTGCTCCAGGATTCTCATGTGGTTTTATGCTATGCTGCTGCCTTAATAATCTTGTCCTTGTGTTCCCCACCCCACCTCTAAGCAGTGGGGTGTCCTCACTTCCTCATTTACTACTTCAACCCAGGAACAGGCTGAGCTGGCTATACACAGAAAGTGGGGGCCAAGCACAGCGCTGAGCTTTCACCAAGTAAGGCCAGGTGTGGGCTGTTAGAGGCCACACTTGAGCCTTCAGCTTCCAACTTCCTGTCTGTTAAGGATACTAGCTAGCTAAGGGACCTTTGTCCCCAGCCATGGTGCCCCTGTGGGCTTCTTATGATAGAGCCCACCTGAGATACAGGGGCCCAGCATGTCCTGGAAGCCCTAAATCTTACAGAGTGGGCTCTCAAGAGGTCCTGAGGGCACTCCCACTGTCTAGTCTCCTGCCTTACCAGCCCCAGGGCTCCTCTAACTTTGAAAAACGGGATACTCTGCCTTTCTGGTGACTCTTAGACCCACTTAGTGGTAGTTACAGAATGACTGTGGTTTTCCCTTTGGGTTGTATGACCCATGGTGGCCCCCCAAAGGGCAGCTGGCCAATAATGTAAGGTGCCACAAGGAAAGGGTTCTGAATGAGTGTTGAACTAACTACAGCATTCCTGGGTCTTTTCATTTGTGCCTTGCAAATGTCTCGGCCAGTTGTCTTTTGGATTCAATTTCCTGTGTTCTCAACAGAGAGTCTATGGCAGGCTATCTGGACCTCTGAGAAAAGAGCCCTGACTGAATCTGGAAGGCAGGGTAAGCCAGGTTTTCAGGGTACTCCCTCCCATCCCCTTGGCCAGTGGACTAGGTAGTCTGGCTGCTTCTTGAACTAGAATTCCCTTCCATAGTGAAGTCATCACCACCACCACCAACAGCAAAATGTCAACCCAAGAAATGACTTCTTCCCCGGACAGCCTCCACTCTGGGTTAACCTGCTAAATTTGTCCAAAGAGTTCAGGATATGTGGCAAGGATTCTGTGAACAGTGGGTGACTCAGCTTGGAAGTATACCCCCAAATGTACAATTGCACATGTGGAAAACTCTTACACACAAAAATGTATATGATGATGCGTGAGGGTGGTCCCACAGTTTGTGGGACCCTGGGCCATCGGTGCCACCCTCATGCATCATCATGGGTTTGTGGGACCCTTTAGGCACCAAGCTAGAACTGGGTTGCTAGAGCCATGTAGGAGAGTCTAACCCAGAGCAAGATAGGAAGTGTGGGGAGTAGCATTCCTCTGACTAGACAGTTTATGCCTCTTCTGGAACGAACGGTATAGAGTCTGTGTGTGAATGTGGAAAGTGACAACCAATAGATTAAGCAAAAGGGAAGGCGGGGCCTGGAGATAGCCTTACCCACAGGGCGCTTGCCTCAATTGTGCTTGATGAGGACCTGGGCTTGATCCCCAGCACTGCATATACGTAACCCCAGCATCTGGGAGGTGGCACCAAGAGGATCAGGAATTCAAGGTCCTCTTCAATTACATAGCAAGTTCCAGGTCAGTTTGGGTGACATGAGACATTGTCTTTTTAAAAGATGGGGGTTGGATGGGGGAAAGAGTCTGGGAAGACACACACAGGACCCACGGGGACGTGAGTTGTAGGATGGGTGAATTCTCATGAGTTTGCCTTTGAATTACTGGGCAAACTTCTGGTTCTGCTTCCCACAGCCTAGATCCAGACTCCTATTCCTAGTCTCTCCACTGCTACTTTCTTGAGGATGAGGCCAGGAGCTAACTTCAATCTCCTAAACTCACTCCAACCTCTGCATTAGATAAGCGCTCATCAGATGATGGAAGCCTTGGGTGCCTGGTAGGGACAGGAGCAGTGTGGCCCTTACTTGCATGTCCAGTAACAGAACATAGCCAGCACCCAGTAGAGGTTCCCAGAGTTGTATATGAATGTGAGCAGGGCTAGGGGATAAGGATGATATTCTAGAAGATCCCTCAGTAGGGGTCAGGGATGGTGACACAATTTATAGGAACCTTTAGTCCCCAAGGCAGAATTAGTCTGTGCCATTTCCCAGGGATCTGGAGACTCAAACGAAGGCTCAGATGCTAGAAGGCTGGGATAGAATTCCTTCTCTGGCTACAGGTGGGCTGTGTGAGGCTAGGTAGCTCCTCTGATCTACACCACAGCTTTACCAGCAGCTAGGCCAGAGGCAGCAACTGCCATTCTGCCTCCCACCCTCACCACACATGGTTGGTGGTCCCCAGCCTGGCTGCTGGGCAGTCTTGTCCGAATACTGACACTCCCAGGACCATGGTTCTAGCACAGTTCTACCTGCCCTCCCCCAAGCTCTATACCCCAAAGCAACTGCCCACTTGACTCCACCAACTGGGTCAGCAAAGATCACCAGTCTGAAAGCTGGCAAGTGCCAAGGTGATTAGACCACTGCCTGCCTAGCTCTCATCTCCCAAGGAGCCCTGGCACTGATCACTTCTTCATCCTCCGGCTAGGCCCCTCCCTCTCAGTTGGAGGATCTGGTCTGCCCATCCTGTCCCCATGCTTTCTTCTCAACTGCCTGTAGGATGGACAGGATGCCTGGTAGGACCACAAGTCTCATGGCCTACACATTTACTTTGTTCAGCTGCCAAAGGGCACAGAGTGAGCACAGACTGCTGTCAGTCCCTGCCTGACCCCAGGCCAGTACCCGCTGCTTGTGGCATCCTAACCCAGCCTCCGGCTTCCTGCACAACCTTGCTCTTCACACGGCCAGACAGGTGTCACTCTGCATACTTGTCTGTTCTCTAGCTGTTCTTCCCAGTGTACCTTCTTCCTCTGTGAGGATTGCTTGACCTCCCCAGTGGGCCCTGGACCTGTACAACCACAACACTTGACCTATCTGAGAAGACACTGGCTGTCCACCTCTCTATTGTCACCCACATGGGGGTCAGACACATGTCAGGACCTCT